GCAATAATGAAGACAGAAAAGGCTCTTTCAAGTAAAGACCTTGTTAATAAGCATAGTGTACATAGATCTACTTTTCATTCATTCTGAGCATAACTAGTTTAGAATGGATAAGGATATGTTTTACAAAACCAGGTAGTTCATATTTAAGTATAGGCAGGTGAATTAAAGCAGAGTCCACCGAAGTTGTCTTTATTCTGTTAAATTGATCTTGGGAGGGTGGATTTGGACACGTTTTGTGCTGTACCGAAAGGAGCCATACATAGTGGCACAGATTATTGTGTGTTTTGTTTCCTCATAGAGCTCTCATTTTGCTCATCTCAAGAAGAAAATGCTGTTTGTTTTCCTTTGTAGTTCTCCCTTTCCCATCACATTTTGGTAACAAAATTTGTCTGAGGAGAGGGTTCCCTTTAATGAGAATGTAAAACCACTTTGTCATTGTGGAATTTAGAAATTGTTTAACTTTTCTAAGTCTCAATTTTTTACAAAATTGCCCTGTAAATTTGGGGCAATGCCTTGTATTTTTCAGGGTTGTTCTAGCTGCAACATGACAGAGATAATAAACCTTAAGATGGTAGATCCTTGGTGATTAGTAGCTTTTACTGTCCAAATTTAGGTATCAGAAGCCTACATTTTCAGATTTAAAAGGGCTTCAGCTGGTCGATGAAGAAAAGATTCAGGAAGAATTCATGGACGTGAGATGGAAAAGGAGGGAGAAGAGTCTACAGCTGTGGTTCTCAGGAGGATGGCCCCTAAGGAACAGCTGTCATCTGATGACAATTAGATGGACCCTAATTGTCATCAGCTGGGACTTGTTAGAAATATAAAGTCTCAGCTTCATCTCATACCTAAAAATCAGAGGTTCTGGGGATGGGGCCCAGCAGTCTGGCTTACCAGGCCCTACAGGTGATTCCTATGCACTCGACTAGGCCTAAAGTTAGAGAAGTTGAGCTGCAGGCTTTGGGAACAAGCCAGTGGGATAGTGACGAGCTTCCCAGGATGGTGGAGGGCGTGGAGAGGAGATGG